TGATAAATTTTTTGGTTTTGAAAGGCAGATTTTTGGGTGCGCCCTATGTCGTTAACATGCAGCACCGTGATTTGTTGGGCTCAGCATTCTCCTCAGTGTCTGAGCGGTGGATTGTTTTGCCAGTTGGGTTGCGGCCGATCACTGTTTCAGTGTTTTGTTGCTGCAGCTTTGGTTCTCTTGATGCTCAATCTGCTGCGTACGTAGCTTTCGCAGGCTTCATGCATGCTTCCGCCCTCCACGCCCTGTGATACTTGGTTTCTATCTTGTGTTGTTGTATTGGTGCTTCGCTCTGTTTCCTGGTACCAGATTACGCTGTTGCTTCGCAGTCTGAGGGGGGTGTTTGTACGCTAAGAGCCTGAATCCGTTTTTGGCCTTCGTGCCGTGTTAGCTTTGAAGGCAGCCCACGGATCTGGAGTTGTCATCCAGGGTCCTCTTCTTTGCCACGGCCCTGCCTGATTCAGCATGCTCTTGGTCTTCTGACTTGCATACACTGGCGCTGGTGTACAGGCAGCAAACACCTGCCAGGGTGACCGGAGGTCCTCGTAGCAGACCACAAGCAATTGCCACCAATGCATTACTGGCAAGGCTTGTGTGTGGGGTTTCACAAGCTGAGGCGCCCCCGTACTTTGCGGTGGGCCCTAAAACGCCGCATACTGTTGCCTTCGGATGCATGTTGACTTTTTGTGCTTTCTACTGCCAAAACAAGTGACTAGCATACAAAATGCTCAAGACGTGCTCTGGAATTATTTTCGCAAGGTTGAGTGAGGTGTCCTCACAAAAGCATTTCTTTGAATTTGAGACAAAAGTTGGACCTCGATAGCAAGGACAGTTTGGCCGAGTGGTCTAAGGCGCTGGCTCAAGGCGCCAGTCCGCAAGGGCGTGGGCTCGAACCCCACAGCTGTCATCTCACACTTTGGGGTCTGAATGTACAAGAACAATTTTTTCTGCAAACTCAACCTAGCCAGGGTGAGTCAGGCTGGTGCCTGGACATGGCTTCAGTCCATGGGGCATGGGGACATGCAGGGGCTCGATTCCCCCTCCCTGGCGCTTTTGCCTGGGTATTGGCCCGATGTCATTCCCAGCAAGTCTGATGCCACTCAAAGCGCTTCCAGTTGGGTACCCGCACTCATGCAAATCATTTTCAAAAATTTTTCTCGCTCGAGATGATTGAAAAGTCTGGTCCTCTCGAAACTTTTTTGTTATCTTGATTTGACGCTGCTTTCCAAAATCGTGCCCTCGCCCAAGACGTCTTCGAAATTTTGTTGATTTTATGATTTTTAAGGTTTTTGGTATTTGTTTCTCAAAAAACTTGCATTTTTCAACGTTGTCTGTGCCGCGCGCACAGCTGCCACACCACAAGTCCAAAGAAAGCCCAAGGGTCCACAACCAAGCAAAAAGTAAAGAACCAAGGAAGAGTGGTATGAATGTGTCATGGTTCTTGATTTGCCACGCAGGCTTCATGAAGCTAGTGCGCTGGTGTGCACGACAGGCCATGACACATGCATAGGATGTGTGCCACATGGCAACAGTCTGCATTTCACATGACACGCAGTACGCAGGCAGTGCGCGTGTGGCGAGCTGGCTTACATGTTATCAGGATTGCATCCAAGATCTAGACATGGGCGCCGAGACAGCACAGCAGAGACCCAGTGGCCCAATGGATGAAGCATTGCTGGACGTGTCCTTGCGGACTCTTGCACACAAGCAAAATATGGTGGCTTGAGTCCACCCTGGGTCGCTTTGTATGACTACTGCTCGGCATGCAAACCCTTTGTTCAGATGGCATGACAAGCCGCTCACCACACCCATCTGACTGCGTTCTCAAGTGCTCTCGCGTCTGACCTGCTTGTCCAGGCCCGGCAGGATGTTGCCAATCCGCTGAGGCAAACACTTAAGCAGGCACAAACGATAGCATCGCCGTCATAGATGTGGGGGAGTCGTCACTTGGCACCTCGTGATCAGCTTGCAGAAAAGGTGCTGGGTGCTGCAGGAGAAGCAAGTGAAGGGGTTGAGCTTTGTGGAGACGTGGGATAAGGCTCTAAAAGCTCCTCACAGGCGTCTGACCTCTGGCCCAGCTATAGCCCGTGACGTGCCGTGCAATCTATCTATTCGGCAACTTGTTTGTTTATCTGTGCTTCGTCGTGCCTATGTCAATGCAAATCCACGTGTGTAGGAAGTCAACATCCCACAGAGTGTCCAGCAACGCCCTTCAGAGACCTGAGGCTTTCATGCAGCAACTCATCATCAGTGCAACAGCTGTATATGTAATTGATGCAGTCTTAGGATTCTCAAAGACATCTGTGGCATATCGACAGCAACGCTTCCACATTTTTTGGAATTATCATGTTGTGGGATTCAATCTGCGGCGTCAGACCAACCAGCAAGCAGACAGACATGCGCACAGACATGCTGCTCGCGAAGTCTTTTATCGTTTTTGAGTTGTGTATAGATCTAGAGGAAGTGTCTAGAGCCATGGAAGATCAACCAACGCCTAACGATGGCATACGTTCATGCTGATTGGCGGCTTGGAAACGTGTTGGCGACGAACAATTGTTGGAAGCCGCCTCGGCCCTTCAGGAAGCTCGCGTTTAGAGTGGCATTGCCATCATATGGCATGGAGACGTCTTCGCTGGGACCTTTCGGTCGACGGAAAAGGTCGCAGGGATGGCGGGCGACAGCACATCAAACAATGAGGACCCACTGTGAATGTGAAGAAAGAGAAGAAAACAAAAACGATTGAGCCTGAGAGTCTAATTGCTTGGCTTGCGGCAGACCTCTAGAGCACCCCGCTCCCTTTTGTCAACACCTTGTTCACTTGCTTGACGCGCCACTCTGCCTGCCTCCATGCCTTGGCAACCCTGCAGTTTGGCCAGGGAAGCCCAATGCAACATAAAGGCAAGGTTCAGCTTGCTGTTGTACAGACAATCGAGAAGCTGCTGGGCAAGCAACCATGAACCCAACAAGCTGGCGAGTGGACGGCGGAGGGCTGAGCTCGTGGCCTGACAGGGCGGGCAATAGAAGCCAAAGGCTTGCTTACAAGCCAGTTCATGAGCCCGAGCAGACGTGAGCTGAATTTTTTTTCTACATCAGTGGTGCTGCGCTGGGATTCCTCCCATGATCTGTGATTTTTCCGTGATGGGGAGGCAGGAAGCTAATTTTTCACATGTGGCCCTTAGTAAAGGTTCAAGGCCTGAAGACTGCTGGATTGCCTTGGCCATTTTAGGTGCGTTTCGTTTTTGCGGCTCTTAACCTCGCTTTGGAGGAAACCCAGAAAAAAAATCCTCGATTTGGACGTGCTGCGCCAAGCCACATCACTCTGGGTTTAATAACAGCACAAGCTAAAGGTAAGGGGTGGGTTTGGGAGCCATTTGGGACAAGAATAGAAATGCAGTAAAACTCAAAGGCTTTGAAAAACATATGGGATCCCCTGAAAGCGGGAGCTAAAGGGGATTTTGGTGGGTAAAGGGTGGGTTTGGGAACCCCTTAAAGCTAGTAATGCAATGCAACTCCAAACTTTTACGCGAATAAAGCTTTGGGATCAGCACGTGTGAAAGCGGGGAGCTAGAGGGGATTTCAGTGGGCAAAAATTCAATATAACTCAAAGGCTTTGCGCAGGTAAAGCTTTGGGATCAGCACGTGTGAAAGCAGGAGCTAAAGGGGATTTCAGTGGGT